TTTGGAATCCTTTCCATAAATTGACTATACCAGAAAAACATTAACCAAAAAATATGAGAAACTGTCTCACCATTTGAGCTGTCTGATTGATATTGAAAACTATAAAAAGCCGAACCAAAAATATTAATTTTTCAGGTTCAAATTTCAAAACAGAAAATTAAACCAGATTTTTTTTCACTGAGAGGCCAAAAAAGCCTTTTGAACAGTTTTTGTAGAAATATAAATTGATCTCAAGTGCAGCTTAAGTTGAGACTATTTGAAATACAGGTCAATCACAGTCCAAATATAGGACGAGCGCAGTTGAAAATTAGGTCGAACCATAGCCGAAAGAACGGTCAAGTACTGTCAAAATATAGGATTAGCACTGTTTGGAAAATCGTCAAATTTTAAACTGAAACTGACGTTCACATAGCGTTTTGCATTGAACTCAAAAATGTTCAGCTTTAAAAAATAGTGGAAAAGACCTTTTGTTTTCAAGGTTCACATTACAACTAAAAAAAATGTGTATTTGAAAATTTTAAATAAATTAACTGACAAAGTTTTTTTTTGGTTCATTTACCTTAAGTTATTTATCAGAAAAACCTTTAATTGCCGAAGGGTTGAAAATCAAAAACGCTCAAACCAAAAGCGCTTGACGTTAATAATTTGTTTACAAAAACTTGTTGCCAATCGAATAACAGCTGAAAAACTCCAGTACATTGTTTTAGCCGTAAAAATAGCACGCTCTAAGCCATATTTTTTCTGATGGGATTTCAATATCTCAAAAGGCTCTTAATGGACAGAATGTGAATTCGAAATACAGTTTTTTCAGCTGCATTTCAATTCTGAGGCAAAATTTCCATTGAGTGTTGAGAAAAAAATGTCTCTAACAGTTCACCTTTATTTAACTTTTGAAACGTGGTTTTGAAAACTGAATCTAGTAATAGTTATTTTTTGCAGAACATTTTCTTAGCATAAAAAGAGGAAAAATTGTTTTTTAGCAGACCAACGTATAAAAAGTGAAACATGATTGATTGACAGACTCGAAAACACGCTCAGTCTTCGGCCTACTAAAAAAATTGGCTTGATAATTTATATAACCTTTATATCTAGAAAAGCAGCTTTCGCTCGGTACAGGGTCTAGGAATATTTTTCATCTGTAAAACGTTGCTTTTCAAAAAATTAGATAAGTTTAGTACATAAAGCTTTATTGATGGCAATGAACCACTTAGGATTGGCATCCGTAAATTACATCAATCAGCCGGTTTTTGAATTGCATAAATTATAAACACGAAAAAAGCCTTTGTTTTTTTTTAAGACCAATTTGAGGCTTAAGTTTTATGAAAAAGCCAATCACTTATTCTTTAGATGGGTTAACCTGAATTTAATTCCATACGTGATTATTGTTGACTTTTTATCCTAAAACCATCCGTTCATTTATGCAATTATCTTGTTTATAATCTAACTTCATGCATAAATTTGATCAAAATCACTGATAAAAGAACAGTTTGAACATGAAAATGGACTTTTTACAACGCTTAATTGCACCTAATCGTTGATTCTGCTCGGCTGATATGCTCGACAATATTAGAGTGTGATTGGGTATCGCACGCAGAAGTTTTTTACAAATACAAATGAACAAATATGAATAAATATGCCAATATGTTTTCTCTCATCAATATTGGGTTGTGCCTTCAAAAAAATCCGGGATAAGATACGGGGTAAATAAATCTTCGAAGGGCATTTTAGAGTTATATGTTTGGAATAGGTTATAAACAGTAGTCCAGGTTTAATAAGTTTGGGGTGCAACCGCCTCTTTCCAAGAGTCTGAAACCCTCGCCGCCTAGAGTGTTATCACTTAAGTATTTAAAGACATAAATTTTTGGTCGAACATCCTCAAAATGTTGAGCTCAGATGATCCATTTGGCTGAACTAAAAGGAAGAAACAGATTAGATGATTCAAGATGATGTTTCCTCAGTTTTGAGTCTTGTCAAACTTACTGAGTTATGAATAATTTGCATTCATTTTTCCTTTACAATTCGCGCCAAGATACCATAGCGGTGAAATAGTTAACAAGATCCCAAAAAAACACTTGGAAGAAGTATAAAAACGGCAAACGATTCATCGAGTACTCGAACAAATATTGATTACCGCAAACATTTCGGGCGACCTAATACACCTGTTTTACGAGCAGCCTTTGGTTACCGAGCAATGCGATGAACTTCATTTGCAAAAATTATCATAGTCATTCATTTCGATTGGAGCTGCCACTTTAAATTGAGAATTGCGATGCATGTGAGATTGTTATTTGTGATTTTGGAAATGTTTTTACGAACATTATTTTCAATGGTTCTCTTGTGGCAGAAAAATTGCATGGCAGAAAAGTTTCAAACAATCAAAAGTTTTTGAATGTCAAAATCCTTCCTAAAATATCATGTTTTACTTCAGCTTTTTTTAAACAGTGAAAACTTTTTGGCTAATTTTCCCTAATTGCAATTGAAATTCATTGAAATTTTAAAAACTGTTTCGAAGGCTTAAAATAATCTTTTCCTCTCGTCTGTTCGACGGTTTTAAAGTTTCGATCATTTGATTCTTCTGTTAAAAGAGACCCTATCCACTACTTTAACTCAACTTAATTCAAGTTAGGGGGCACCTGTGACTAGCTATGCAATTTGGCGTGTCATCGTTCAATGGCTCTATCCTTCCGACCCGGCCGATCGATATTTACACATAAAAGTGCGGCGGAAGCCTTCATTTGTGCTCATAACTTACCAACCATCCATAGTTCCCTAACTCACTTCACTCTGTGGCTTGTATTCATTCCGCTAATGCACGCACAAAGTGCCCCTGCCTACCTGACCAGATATCAATAAAATCCAACGTCTCATTCGGACGAAAGCTCTCAATCATTACAAAAATTCTGGCCCAAAAGAAACATAGCTGAGTGAAATAAAAACAACTTAAAAAATTGATTTTTTTTCTGAAAGAGTTAGTTTGTTTTCCAAAGCCAAAAACTGAAATTTTCACTATGTAAAAGTTAAGCTGTTGCGTTTTCGTGAAAATTTGTAGAAAAATGATAAATCAAGTTTTTGTTTTTAAATTTTTAATAGTACTTTTTAAATGAAGATTTTAGGTTAGCATCTAGCTGAGTTGCCGTCTAGCTGAGCGTGTGTTTTTGAAAGTGCCCTTGGGCTCAGTTTATCAGAATTAGTGGCCCAATATTTCAATACACCCTCGGATACTGGGACTGATAAAGAACCAGAGAAAGAGAGAAGAAAAAATAGAGAGAGAAGGGAAGGAATTCAATTGTTTCTTTCAGTATGAATCTGCAGAACATTAAAGCATTTAAGACGAAGAGTTCTTCACAACCATTTCACTTAATTTGATAATATGCTACTTTTGCTCTTTAGAAGCCCCCACCCCGAACCTTTCCCCTCATTTCCCAAGAAAACTGAAATTAATCACGAACTGGTAATTGAGAGTTCACGTCAAAATCTGGACTTAGAGAAGAAAACTTCTCGGAGTTTATCAAATAATTTTTGGATATACTATATCCTTCATATTGGGAAATAACCAAAAAAAGTCTTGAAAAAATCAAAATTTATTTCTTTAGGCTGTAGATAGAAGCGGATCTTAAAGTTTTTCACGAGAGCACTGCACAAAATTTTCATTAACTTCTAGCACGGAGTTCTCTGACCTTCAATTTTTTAGTGTCGGACTAGCATTTTCGAGCTCTCCAAAACGTTAAAAAGACCCTATTTTGGTAACTATTTCTGCTCTCACGCTTTTTTGTGATAAAGAGTCAAAATTCCACTTCAACGATTCACCCTACTATATTGTTTTTTTTCTCATAAGAAAAATTCGATTGCCTGTACTATTCCTTGAGCCAAGTTTTGTAAGAAGTTGTATGATTCTTTTTAGCAACATTATTAGATAAAAACTTTTGGTCGATCCGGGCAGATAACAATTTCGACTCTCATAACAGAATTTCTACCCCTGAAGTAACCTGAAGGTTAAGCATATACGAAATTGGGATCTTTATAATTTATCGCTATCCTTTTGCAAAATGGGGCACTTATTGCTAGATACAAAATTTAAATTTGATAACCTGTTGAATTGATCGTTTGTTAATAAATAACAGTGTGCTGGAAATAATTTAAGTTACCATGAACTTGTAACCCTTAACAAATACTCCCCATTTGTTGGGGGAAAGTTGTAAGGGGAGAAGGGATATGAAAGTTGTTTATCAAACAAAAAACAAGGATCCAGGACTTCAGAGAATAACAGAATTTTCGACATTTTTTTTTAGAAAAAAGTTTTTTTTTGTATAGTTTGAATTGATCCAAGTCATGTTCCGGGAGATCTCCGAGATCTCTTGAATCACTTTGAAAAATATTTTGTCGGGGTGCGAGCTAAAAGCTGCCGGATCCCCAAAAAAGTAATCGTGGTTTTGTACCTCACTATACTAAGAAAGACCAAGAGATGTATCGATTCAAAAGCTATCAGTTTTCACGCTTTTCTTTTGCAATTTCAAGTGATAACTACGAGAGAAGGGTCCTATATACATGCTATCCCGCTCTTTACAGAGAAGAAGCTCGTTTCAAAATAAGATAAATTTTTGGTTGTTTTTCTGGGCTGGGTAATGTTGCCTCGCCCTCCAGTAACAAGCACAGGTGGCTGTGAGCCTCAAACGCCATCGTTTTTGACAGACTTTTGCAATTTATGTACACATTTTCACAACAGAAAAGGAAGAGTTAATTACAAGTTTCCATAATCTAAGTTGAAAGAATAATCAATCAAAATATTTACTTAATTACCTAATTAAGAAAGTAACATGCAGAGAAATAAATAAGTTTTTAAGTCTTGGGCTATAAAAAATTACCCTTAGTAGAAATGAGCACAATTTTTTGTTGGTTTTTTGTAGAAATTAGTCGCAATAAGTTTTTTTCATTTTTTTTATTTAGGCTGAAAATATCAATCTTCATAATCTTTCGTAATTTTCCAATAACTTTGAGACTGCTTAACCAAGGAATTACATAACATATTTTTTTCTGTTTACCGTTTTAAAAACTAAATCAAATCGTGTCGGCTATTCATTATCAGATTTTATATATTCTAAAGACTTTACGAAAAAGTTCAGTTGTATCATCTGTTTTTTTTTCAGTTGACTAGTGTTTCCATTGACTTTGTCTGGTTCGGCCCGTTCGAACTTCGGATTGTTGTCCCATTTGTGACGACGTAGTTCCATTGAGCCGTTTGCTTGTGTGGCATCGTCGGAGTCACAAAGTGTGATCCATTTTGGGGGACGGGCTAAATACACGCTAATATACTTTAATTGCCTGAAAAAGTTTATCAACAAAGCCCTTTTCAACCTCCCAAATAACTAGTCATTAAACCAAAAAAAGTGATTTTTTTATTTTTCATTTTCCACAAACCCGTACCCCTTCTTCCTCGCGCCCTAAATAACAAATCAACAAATTAAAAAATCAAAAAAAAATAAAACATTATGTGTGGTTTGATTTTCCTATTTTTTGAATGTTTTTTTTTCCCCAAAAATAATGTAAAACAACCCTCTAAAACTGTTTATTTTGTTATCTCTGTCATTTTTTTTGAGTGGGGAGCTTGGCCGATAGGCGAACTCTTCTCATAATTGCACGCCGTGAGCAAAAGTTCTCAGCAGTACACATGCAAGGAAGTTGTGATGGGGTAAAGTTGGAAGGGGGGTTGATTGAGGGGGAGGGGGAGGGGAGGGGAGGGTATTTTGGCGTGAAAAAGCCCTTTTACTCTACCTGAGGAGGTACATAATGGTCGTTGTTGGCTGCAATGTGGTAGTTGTGATTGTTGATGTTTGTATTGTGATGGATAGGTGGATTGGCTGACTGGAGGTTGTAACTCTGGGCTACTGAAAAACTGCCCACTCTCGAAGAGGAGGAGTTGGCTCCCCCGACGCCGTTGTTGTCAATGATGCATCTGCCATTTGACGTCATAAGGGGAACTGGAAATCTGTTTTTGCTGAAAAAATCATTGAACTTAATTTAAGTTTCCATTATGATAACAATTGGCTCGTTTTGCTTTCCCTCAAACGGAAATTCACACAATTTTTGTTCAGACTATTTGATTGTTTTGATTATTGGTATGTAGATTGATTAGGTCATGACGACAATATTCATCGTTCATACTAAACCTTGTAAAACTCCTCGTTACATCACAAATTTGATCCTCATGTGAAGTGGGGAAAAGAAAAAAGAGCCTAATTTTTATTTTTTCAAGGGGAAGGGATGTCAATAAAGTATATTATGCCACAAATTCATTCTGCAATTTTTGATTAAATGACTTTCCAAAAATATGTGTTGTGCATCGACTTACTTTTTTAATGTACATTTGGTAACATTTAACATTTTGAGTCTTTAACATAAAAGTTCATAGACTTGAATTTTTATCACAGCGAGGAGTCTGCTGCTCACTTTTTGATTTCCAACTAAATTTTGTTTCGTTTTTGATCCGACCACTTCACGAAAAAAGTTAGAAGGAACGTTTGCATAAGGTGCAGGTATTCCTAGTATGAGAAAGCTAGTCTGGGATCGTGTCACATAAAGGCTGACTCAGGTCTAGTTTGGACTCAATTCTAGATCAGAAATTCTCTCAGTGGCAAGAAAATCTGGTTTGAACATTTTTGCCTTTCACAAAATTTTTTTGACTGTTAAAGAAGGCGCGCTGAGTCACTCACTAGCAGAGGATCTCTGGAGGATCTCATGATTTCTTAAGAAACTTGAAATTTTTGCCAACTCTTTTTTAACTCAACCATTCTGAAATCCAGAGCTCTCAAGTCATTTGAAAGCCCCGATAAACCAAAAATTTTGCACCACACTGTGTATTTACTCCGTCATTTCTTTTTGTACTGGTGAGAATTTTTTATTGAAACTCTTCGTCTACAGTGGTAGCAGAAGTATCAGAAAGAACAAATCGAAAAATTTTTTTAATTCAGTTTACTTCAGCGAAAATCAAATTGCTTGCCAATTCCATGCATCTTCGCAGATGTCTCAAATTACTGGAAACTACTAGTTTCAACCAGAGACAGAAAATAACGAAAACAAAATTCAAAGGCAGGGACTTATCGGATGGTTTAGTTAAAAAGTGAAAACTGAAAAAAAAAAAATTTGACCAAGTTTTGTTATGTTTTTTAAATTATGTTTTTTAAAACTCATAAATTATGGTTTTTTTTCCAAGAAAAAGAGCAATACTGAACACCATTTTTTCTGCGAACTAAACAAGAACCTGAATATTCAGTGCATCATCCAAACCAGTGGACATCAGTGCATCCTCCGAATTGTTCGAGTAATTTCAGTAGTTCACCCGCAATGACATTCCATAGATAATAAACGATTATAAAGCATTTTCGATATCTGTCTCAATAAAACTCTAAAATAATCGATTGTAAAGGATTAATAATTAATTATAAACAAAAAAAGAAATCAGTTTAAACCAATATAAACAATTTTGATTGATTATAGTGGGTTTTAATAGAATATAATGGGCTATAATAGATTATAATGGATTATAATGGATTAAAATGGGTTATAATTTATTATAGTTTATCATAATTTGGTTTAGGCAAGAGCCTGAATTTTCCAAACAGTCTCTGTATAGTTTCAAAACGTGAACATTGCAGTCATTAAATTGAGATTTACATTTGGCTTCTGATTTTTTAGTATGTTCTTTCTTATTTTTTTGTACGATTATTTTTCTCATCTTTTTTCTCAAATCAAGTAACAATGCCCCTCTCCCACTTACCTTACACTTATTTATGCCTACCAACTTAACTGCTTTCACTTACCATCTATCCCGCCACTATTACCCTTTTTACACGCGTATACCCCAACCCTTGATCTCGCCACATATTCCACTTACCCCCAAACACCCAATCCCCAAACCCGCAACACTGGGGAGAGCTGATGAGAGTTCGAGTTGGTAGATGTTTGGAGGGATAAAAAGATAGGGGGATGGGGTAAGCATTGGGGTATTTCACACGGAAGAGTGCTGAAAGTGTGCTGGACATCATTTTTAAAAGGATGTGATCAGGTTTAAAAATCCAGTTGGCTGTAAAAAATCTAGGAAAAGCTGAAAGCATGTACGAAAAAGCTGTAAAAATTTGGAAACATTTTAGACATATTATAATCCCTTGTAATTTTTTATATTGAATTTTAAATGGATTATAATCTGTTTAAATTTTTTGAAAATATTAGATAATAATGGATTGAAATCGATTGTGTGGTCGCATAAGATAATTATAATCGATTATAATGGCAACATTCTAGGCCACAAAAATTGATTGGAATCAATTATTATCCATGCAAACTCATTGCCAGCAGTAGACTCTGCAAAGGACTACTTTAACTCTGACCATTTATGTTCTATTCATTAAAGATCGGCAGTTATCGGCTCGTAGGAACTAAGAAAATTTCCAACTTCTGAAATTCTTGTTGTATTAAGATTTTCGTCAATTATATTTGTTGCACGAGATTTGCAGTAAACAAAATCTTTTTCAAGTAAAAAACCAGTTCAAATTGATAATTGATCAACATATTGAAAATGCAAAACTTTGGTCATGCTTATCATAAAATTTTTGGTTCAGCCATTTCGTATTTTTCCAGCTCTGCCGAAACCTAAGAAAAAGTATTTTTTTTGGAATATTTTTTGCGATACTTTTTCAGTGTTTTTCATCACCATAGTTTTATGGTTGTCGATACTAATAATTAAAAATCAGATTGTATATCAAGCAAAATAATGAGCAATCAAGTCAGAGGCGCACAAATTTTTGTCTTAAAAGCATATCTTTCTCTTCTAAGGGTAATTTAAGGGCCTCATTTGAAAAATTTTCTCAAGCAGATAAGTGAACTGTGAATTTGAGTTTAATGCTTACCCGGGCGATGACGAGTTAGACACTAAATACGTGACCATATTTTCGGGATAAATTTCCACTTTAGGGCCTAAAAACTGGTCATCAGAATAAGAAAAATGACTTGGGGTCAACTTTTGGCCTCGGGCATAGTTGGACTCCTTCGGGTAGGCGGGAGGTGGTCTCGGTTTTTCCGACTGCATTCGCGTGTAATCCGAGTCGAGTTTGAATGCGACACGACATCGCTTGCGGTACTCTGCATCCCACACGCTCGAGGTAAGACTCTCGGCGTCTGATACGTCGGGGTAAAATGAACTCGAATGACCAAATGATTCGTTGTTCATTGTTCCGTTTGAATTGTGGTTGTTGTGTTGTGGGAACAAGTAACTGTTCAGTATTTTCTGACCTTTTTCGTTCACGTCAGCTTGAAATGGTAGCAGAGGCGAGCCCTAATTTCAAAGCAGCAGAGTCAAAAATGATGATTTAGCCAAAATTATTACCAATTTTTGTGTCAAACTAATTTTAAAACGACAAACTAAACAGGCAAAACAAATTCCGCTATTTAGAAAATCGCTTTTTCAGAAGTAAAATAATTTCAACGAAAAAACGGGCTTTACTGTTTGGAAAAATTGCATCAAGCACTACTAAAAATAGAGTAATTGATGGTAATTTTTAAACCTGGTTTTCAGAGAGCCACAATGCATTCAGAAGTTTGCAGTTTGTAAGTGAGTAAGGAAGTTCAAACAGGAGATTCTGAGTCACCGTCAACACCCTCAAATGTCGACACATTCCGATCTCCACTGGCAAATTAGACAATTGGTTCTTAGCCAGGGACAACACCCTCAACTTGGAACAGAACCCGATTTCTTTGGGCAAACACGTCAGCTTGTTTGAGTCTATGTACAAAAAACGAATGTTTACGAGTCGGTTGATCTCGGCCGGCAGAGTCGTCAGCTGATTTTTGTTCAGATTAAGTTCAACTAAGTCGTGGAAGCCGCTGATACTTGTCGGAAGTTCAGATAGACAGTTGTCGCTAAGGTTTAAAACGTTGAGTGAAACTAATCTACCGATTTCGCCAGGAAGTCGAGCAATCATGTTCTCGTGAAGATACAACTCTCGTAGCTTAGTCAGTCGGCAAATTGATTCGGGTATTTCTGATAGACAGTTGCTGCTCAGTTCGGCAAATTCCAGACACGAGAGCTGACCAATCGACTGAGGGAGTTTTCTGATTTTGTTTTTATCAATCCAAAGCTCTTCTAAACTGACAAGTGCGCCAAAAAACTCCGGAAGTTCAGTGAGGTCATTGCCTCCAATGTCGAGTCGTTCCAGAGAGGTTAGATGGATGATGGTTTTTGGCAAGTATTTGATATTATTTGACCTCAATTCACACACGATTAACTGAGTTAGTCGTCCAAAATTGGCTGGAAGGTAGTCGAGAAAGCAGTCATTCATGTAGAGGTGAGTCAGACCTAAGATCTGGGTGACTCCTTCTGGCATTCGACCCAGGGGGTTGACACTGAGGTCAAGTGAGTGAAGGTATTTGCAGTTTCGGATGTGAAATGGAACATCTAAAACATTTTTTGAAACACTTAATGGGGAAGAGGTTGGGTTTTTACAAAACAAAAAGATAAAAACGCCAGAAAATTCCAGTCGATCAGTATCTTTCAAAAATGACAGTTGAAATGATACTGATTGGTTAGACTGACAGAATAGTAAAAATTTCCTTGATATTTTTGTATTCTGATTATTGATTACTGATCGGCTAATTTAGTTTTAAGTATTTCGGTTTTTCTACCATTAAAAGTTGCCTACCCCCTCCCTGTTAAGTGTTCTTTGTTTTTAGAGAGTCAAAAGACATCTGACAGCAAAGTTGTTTGGCACTTTCTATCTAGCCGAGGTTGTGGATTTAATTCAACTATCCAAAAAATAGCAGCGGTTGGTTGATGATCAAAATTACTTGCCCAGGAGTGCGTTTTTAGAGATGTTCAGTTCCCTGAGGTTCCACAGACATCCTATCCAGGGTGGAACAGTATAAATCTCGTTGTCGGAGAGGGAGAGTCTCTTGAGAAACTGACACTGGAATAGAGCCCTGGACATCTCACAGATCATGTTACTGTCCAACTCCAGCTCCTCCAGACACTTGCGGAACTTCACTATCTCCTTCGGGATCCGCTTTAGCTGTTCAACAAACCAATCTTACCATACTATCAAATCTGATGACTTTAGCCCAAAAGTAATAGGACTCTAACCCATATCTTTGAACGATAGTTAGATTTCTGACAGATCTATCGTGGTCTAGGGTGACTTTGTGGTTAGGACATATATGTACCAGTTTAGTGGTTTTAGCTCGAATTTTAGAAAAAAATTTGAAAAAGGGAGGTATTTGTCTGGGGTGGCGTTTTTTTTCAGATCAATTTGAAAAAGAAATTTGACAGCGCGAGGATAAATCCTGGAATTTCAGGATTACCATTTGGTCGGGGACTGCTCGCTTACTACATTATACTTGCAATACGCGCATTAGGGTGGCTACTTATTCCGTACTCAAAATCATGCTAAGCTGATTTAAGTTAACTAAATTGTCTTTTTAATTAGTTTGAGGACTTATTTTGAGACTTAAAATTGAGCTCTTGATATGTGATATTGAATGACAATAACTTATATTTCATCACAAAACCATTCACGAGGCAGTCGGAAAATGTAGGGCTTTGCCCTGATTTACGACCAGTTGTTAGGGAGGAACTATTTGCAATTAAAATTGATTCGGCGACTTTGAAAGACTCTTGCAAGGTTTGGATTCACTTAACCGCGTAGAAGTTTCACTGATGATTCATAATTTCTGCATTTTGGGCCAGAACCTTTACACAATTTTTTAAAATTCCAATAATCTTTTATAATAAGATAAGCAAGCTGCAAGAAAAAACGTTTGATTACTTACACGCTTAACTTTTTACACGCTTAAATTTTTCATCTATTTTTTTGAAAATTTAAAACAAAATTTTAAAATTAACTTTAAAAACATTATTTTTGCATGAATTTGTGCTAATTTCTTATGTTTTTTTTTCACAGAGAAATAATGTACAACATTTCAGTAGTGTATTTTCTGCCTTACACCCTGAAATTACAGTACAGCAGTATAAATTATATGCACATTGCATAAGCACATTGCATAAACACATCGCTTAAGCACATTGCATTGGCACATTGCAGTTGTGTAAAAATCAGCATTACAGTCTGGACTAAGAAGGACTGCTGACAAACCGAATGAGCGACGCGAAATGCAATGAATAGAGTTTATCAGCAGTCTTTCTGAGTCCAGACTGTAATGCTGATTTTTACACAACTGCAATGTGCTTATGCAAGGTGCTTAAGCGATGTGTTTATGCAAAGTGTTTATGCAATGTGCATATGATTTATACTGTTCTACTGTAAGTTCAGGGTGTAAGGCAGAAAAAGCACTACTGCAATTTTGTACATTATTTCTCCTGTGAAAAAAACTTAATCCAGCAATCTCAGCCGGGAAATGTTGCTGAGTATTTGCTAGAGACTAGGAGAAACTTCAGACAGGCCTGCTCGTATATCAGGGCAAAGCCCTGAGTGTTCCGACTGTCCCTTAATTCAAATCGAATATTTTTTTGGGAAAAGAAAATATTGAAAACCTATACATTTAGGACAATATCAAATTGTAAAATTTTGATTCCTACGAAAATAATAATACCAACATCTAGCTAGCCTCAATTCAGTTTGGAACGATTTTGTTGGGCGAAATAATTCGCCACGCATAAAAAATTCGCGTTACAATCTTAGCATAATAAATATACTCTTCAAAGCGCACATAATTTAGTCCTGAACATGGCAATTTTGGCAATTTTCAAACGCCCAGAACTTGACAAAAAATAATAGGAGGTCAATATCTTTTTACAGTTGAACTCAAGAAGTCAATTTTTTCAATGGTGTAAAAAAAATGTTTGTTGAAAATTATTATTTCGATCGGTGAAATTTGACTGAATAAAAAAAATCGCACCGAGCGTAAACATTCCGTTTTCTTCGAAAGTAGGAACAAATACATTGAAAGTACCAAACACAGCAAAAACTAAATAAAACTAAGATTGTGTTAGAGTTCAAAACTTTGATTATTTTTTGCACTGCAAAAGAATTTTTTTAAAAAACTTTACAAAATGAAAATAAACCAAGCAAAAAGCAATGTAAGTTCTTGCAAGATGTGTTGCAAGATATCTTGCAAGATGTACATTCCGAGAAATTTGGGGTTAACAATAACCCCAACTTCAGATAAGTAATCCGTTCTACTATTCTAAACAGATTACAATAACATCTCAGATTACAGTTATTTTTGAAATGGCGCTCTAATGAACGAACCATACAGTTTGGGCAACAAATTTATCTTTGGTATAATATCTCTACTTGAAAATATTCGTGAAATCCGTACGTGAAAAGATTTGTGAAATATTCTAGGATATATTGAGCATCCCCGCCATTTCTGTGTGGTGAGGTAGCTCAAAAGATATTTGAGGCATGTTTATAACTACTTGAAAGTGGTTTGATGATATGAAATCATGCGCTAGATTCTCCAAAGATTGTGGAACACTAAAATTTACAATTTCAAATATCAAACAAGACTGCTCGTATATCAGGGCAGAACCCTGAGCTTTCCGACTGCCGTTTAATTAGTCTTGAAAAACTTTTGGTAAAAAAGTATTGGAAAACTATAAATTTTAGACAATATCTAAAATCATGTCTGAAAATGTTAGTTGGAAATGTTACTTAGCCAACTCTACCAATTAGCTCAATTAAATTTGGAATGATTTTGTTGTGCGAGATAATTCGCCACGCATACGTTTCACCATAATGAATACAATCTTCAAAGTTCGCATAACTTAGTCCAGAGAATGGCCAAATTGGCTATTTTCAAACTCCAGAACTTTGTTGAAAACAATTGGAGTCAAAAATATCTTTAGGCATTTTGATTCTTTGAGCCGATATCTTCAATGGTGTCAATTTTTTTTTGTTATGAGCTCTGACGCCAATAGCCAATATTTGAATGAATGAAGAAAATGAATAATCCGTTTTCTTCGAAAGTTGACACGAAAACAATTTTAGAGTAAAAACAAATCACTGAAAACGGTGCATAATAAGACTCTGTATTATTGAGACTCTTATTTAAGACTCTTAAAAGAAAATCAAATAGCTATTACGTACCTGATTAAGATGCTGCATTATTATTGTGCGAACAAGTTTTAGTATTCAGATAAAAAGTTCGCCCAAACGAAAAATTTAAAAACTTGAGGAAAATGACCAAATAATGTCAAATTGAGCAAATTGATTTTTTTCAAATCCCCGTAGCTTTACAAAAAAAGATCTGAAGTTTTTTAAAATAATTTTAGCTCAGGTTTAGTAAGGAAGTCAAAAATTGACTGAAAAAAAACAACACAAGCATATAAATTCTGTACTTTCTTCGAAAATGCAAACAAATATACAGGGGCGGATCTAGGATTTTCTCTAGAGGGGAAAAAATTGTCGAAATTTTTGTTGATTTTTTTTTAGATCGACCAAATTGATTTTCCGAGCTCTCTCAAAAAAAATTAAAAAGACCCTGATTTGACCAAAATTTCTGGGTCGCAAACAAAATTTTAAAAAACAGGCCAAAAAAGGCTTTTTAGGCATTTTTGGAAAATTTTGATCAAAAAAACTGCATTTTTGGCGCACGCTTCCCCCTCCAAATTATTAAATAAATGGATGTCTCAAATTAATACAAAGAGGGGACCCTTTGAGTCGGCAGGGGGTCGAATTCCTAAGAGATAAGCGTCCACCCCCCCCCCCCCCAAATTCGCTTCTGCGAATATATATTTAAAAACTAAGTCGTATGATTTTTTTTATTATTTAGCCATATTCATTTATTTATTTATTTGAAAATATTGCTATGCGAAATTTCACCTCGCAATGGCGGAAGTCCAAAATTGAAACTGGGTTTTCGTGTAACGAGTCTGTCCCGCAAATGACTCGCTTGATCACTTTGTCCAGCAGAAACAGATCCGTATTGATGAAATTCATTATGTAAACTAAGTATAAATTCGAGTTGAACTATCCATATAAAAAATCTACACAGATAATATTTTTGCAAATAGCAATTTATTTGTAAAACTACCAAGAATGATCAGAATCGTTTCAGAATACAAATATCGTTTGGCAATACAAATGGATTTGATAATTAATGAATGAGTTAAAGTTTTAATGATAAATAGAGCTTATTCGAAAAAAAAAATGATTCAATAATCCAAAAACTATGTAAAAAGAAGTAATTCAAACTATTTTCTTCGACATTGCAATTTTAAAATTACAGACACACTATTTTAAAAATTTAATTGACTAAATAATTGACAAAAATCATAACTATTGCAGTTACAAAGGAAGGGGTAATGAATCACTTCAGTAAAAAAAGCTGCAAAAATAATGGTAAAGAAAAACTATATTTGGTAAGTTGGTGGGATGGAAAAGAAGCCAGCTAAGATGAGTACGTCAGAAGAATAGTCTATCTTGAAGTTAGGGAAGAACAGTGGGCAATTTTGGGGAAGATTTCAGCAGAAGTCGAACATGATTGGCTTAAGGCTAGAAAATAATTGATACGCACTGTAGCACAGTTAGAGCTACTCTCTCAGAACTTTCCCCTCCATTATCGGATGGAAAATTTTAATGGGACATTTTAAAATCAATTCTAAGGTCTGAAGTATTCTTGGTAGATATAAGAAAAAGCCCTGCTATTTTAACCTCGCGGCACTTTTCATTCAACTACAAGCCAGATTTGGGGGTAAAATAAATGATCAATACTTGAGGAAATATTAAATTTAATACCTAATATTTTTTTAAAAGACAATTGTTTTGCATGAACAAAATTATATATAACTGTTTCAAGTTTTAATGACTTATGACGACGAAGAAATATCTAGTATAACTAGTCCATATTACAGACATTTTGATCAGTGCTTTCAATCATTAAAAAAAACGGCCGATCTTGTAGATTTTTGCTTTTCAATAAAAAGTTTGACGTTTTAAGTTTTTCCGCAGCTAATTGGGCGCATTTACAATCAAAGTGAAACATAACGGTACCCCATAAATAAGGAGGAGGGGGGGGGGTAGGTTATAAGTAGAAAAGAAATAGTAATCTTGAGCCTTGTTAGTTCCGGTTCTGGTCGAATGGCAAAGTAATGTGATGTGCATATCTTCTAATTGATACAGAACCGCATCTTCAGTCCATACGATACCAGGGCAAAGGCGGGGATTTGGCTTTACGGGTTTTAAGGAAACGCAACAAAAGAACCCTTCAAACGTGCTGTGCGCGCTACTAATTTGGCTAATTTCACCAGTCTCAAAGATGTGCGCTTCGAAAATGAAGAGAACAAAGAAAAAAGTATGTTCACGGATTTTGAATGGAAGCAATGAATCATTTATGATTATTTTCTCTGAAAAAAAAATTATCTTAAATCTTTCCATTAGATTTTACAATACAATTAGCTAAATGAAAACTAAAACGCTTCACTGCATAAAATTACTAAGATTTGTGCGTTTTTGCATTTTTCAAACCAATTCTTTTTACTTACTAGCACAGATAATAAAAAAACTGAATGAAAATAATTTATTCTGTTAGCCAATTTTTAAGGAACTAATCAATGCACTACGTGAATATAAGATGGTTTTTTGTTGCCAAACTCTTTTGCATTCGATGAACAGTTCAGAAACGCTCATTTTGATTGGTCAGTCACAAAACGTCCTTGAAACTATTTTTTTTTCAGAAAAAAAAACATTTATTTAGATTGAAAAATAGAGCTAACTAGACGTTTACCAGACCGTAAACTGTAATCTTATATCATTTTCTGAAAAATTTTTCTAGTTTTTTTTGCGTTTTTCTAAGCTCTTATACAGTTTTTTATCTAAGTTTAGCAGATCTCATATTCCAAAAATGAATATACCTACCCAACTAACCCACCCTTACAATACCATTATTGTTCCGGCGACTAAATCGGGAGGAAAAATGTTCTGAAATATAGTGCGAGACGCCGAGCATGGCGCGATCGACGCGCCTTTTGCGATCGTGAACACCATTTTTGCAAGGAATTCTAATAAAGTTACATAATTTATGCTCAGTTCAGACCGTACCCACTGAAATCTTGTTTTCGTTTGCGAACGATACTCAGTTTATCCCGATGTTCGCAACCGGAGTCTTTCCAGGCTTTCGCTTCCTGAAAGATCCGTCGCAATTTTTGCTTACAGGGCGGTGACGGCGCAACCGTTGCGACCAAGATCAAAGCATTGACTGGTTTGACCGATGAAGCACTACCGGTGGAAAAAGGTGGACATTTTGAAACCAGCACATGGCGCAACAATGATTGCATAAATATTTTAACTCAGCGCCACTGAATTGTTTTTTTTTAACCAGCTGAGCAATTCAATGAGTAAAACAAAATATGGCTCAGAGAATGAAAATTGTTTTTAAGATTCATTTTTTCTTTCAACTTGCTAGAACAAGAGTCTTGTAATCGGGAACTAGACTTTTAGCCAGCAAACAATTTTTCTGAAACATTTGAAATCAAAAATCTTTTTATCAGTTTTTGGCAACTTTCAGGTCCCTTCTTTCTTCGTCTGGAGGTTATGCGGTTGCCTTTGCACCTTCTGGTCTGTTTTTGAGTGCCAACGAGCTAGAGTATGTTGGTCGCGGTTTTGTAGTTTTACTTAAAAAAAATTTTGCATTGGTTTAAGGATAAAAAATATTATTCTTGAGTTGAAAAAATTTTACCATTTAGTAGTATAAAAGTTTAACGTTGAAACTTTTTAATCGCTTCAAACTTTTAATGAAAACAGTTTCTTTTGATATTTTTGGTTTTCTGATCAATTGGCGTCTAACCACTTGTTGCCGGCATAGTGAATGCTCGGAAAATATTGAACGCTTGTATCATGCTGATGATTGTGTTTCTCTCGTCTGTTCTTCTGAGAATGAATTTTTCGTATTTTTAGTACCAAAAAAATGTTGAAGTTTTTTACTAACTAAGTTATTGCCATCTCACGGTCTGCTTGGTAGCTTGCAATAATACGCTTTCATTGTATCACAAACGATGGGCAGCTCTGCTTCCCCCTCTGTGTTTAACCTTTAGCATTACGAAAAGAGCATGTTACTGTAATTATATGTGATAAATTAGGCTGATGTCCGCCGATGTTCAATTTCGCTGAATGCATTTTTTTTCTGAAATCGTGAGTAAAGATTTTTGTTCAGAATTTTAAAGCCAGACTTTTGCTACTTCAAAGCCAGACTTTTGCGACCAAGTTTTGGTATGTCCAGATTTTTTCGTTTTGCGACAGAGCTCGCATTTTTCGCGATTGGATATCCAGTACTGTGAAACTAAAATTCCAGCTGAGATGACGCACTTAAGATCAAGGTTTGTATGTGGAGCAATTTTCATGGAACCGTGTCCGTATTTCGTTTTTTGTTTTAAAAAAATGCAACGCACCAGGAACTCGTTTGAAATTTTTTAAAACTCTTAGACTTCTTTGTTCAATCCCAGACTTCTTCGATCATTTACTTCGACCGTTTCACGAACTGTTTTTTCTTAAGTTCGACAATTTAATTGACTGAAAATCATGAAGCACAAAAAAGTAAGAAAAAAAGCGTTTGAAATATAATACTATTGGAATGTACACAGAAGGTATTCTGAGCATGCTGGTCAAAGATTTGATGCGAGCAGAAAAAATAAGGCTTCTGCTGGTGTATGATTTGCGTAATAATGCTTTTGTTGTTTGCTTAACGATGTGACTTAAAAAATATAGCAAAAGATTAGTAGTAAAATATAGCAAGTAAGAATTAGTGACAAGAATCATCAAAATCATGAGCGTAAGCTTAAGTGTTTCAAAAACAGAGTCCAGCTTGAGGTTGTTATTGCCTCGTCAAACTATCTATATAATAAATGAATGACATATTTTTAGTTGTCATAAGGCGCAATGGTTAAGATCTACCACTGAGCACATTGTTTAAGAAGAATTAGATCAGAATTTTTAATAATCATTCAGAGCAATCATCTTTAGCTTTTTCCTAATCCAAGCAATCCTGACCCAAAATTTGAAAATTCTTTCTTCGCCCTCTTGTCACCCAACACCCAAGATTACTTTTTTGTCACAGCTTTTAAAATTCTAAAAAAACAGTCTCTTATTATTCTTCACAGTTTTGCATAATTATGCATTGTAATTTAGTAAGTCTTCAAATTTTGATATTTTGAAAATTCGATGTGCTGATTGTAATTTCTTGTGTTAGGTTCACGCACACACGTATCAGAGCAACTCAATATCCCTCAACAGCGAACATGAGAGTTTCATCAGTGCAGATGACCTGCATATCAATTTACGGAACCTCTCTATCACCAACCAGAGTTTCAACATCGTCGACATTAAGCCGGCTAACATAGAGGAGCTGAGTGAGATGGTAACAGCCCCATAGCTCCACCCCCACCACTGCAATATATTCGCCTACAGCAGCAGTCGCGGAAACTCAAGCTGTGTGACATGCGACAATAGACCCTCTGCGACTCATACCCCAAATGTTCGTCGTATATTCTAAATTTTGAAGCAATGCACGCCTACTTAGACTTACTATTAAGTAGATATTTTTAAGGTTTGAAACGATAATAAATTCGCAAATTTGAAACCTATTCGCAAATTTCAATGCGACGTAAATTTTGATGCGACAAAATGTGTTCATTTTGAAAGTGTTCAGTTTGATCAACAACCAGCTATTAAGTTCAGCCAATGTAAGGATATTAACACAGACTATTATATTACAAATAGCACCTTAGCTTCAAGGTATCATAGATCTGTAGGGTAGAGGTAGAGAAGGAGATCCGCAACAAAATCGTTCGGAGGGTTCGGACCTGGGCAGGGTCGGATGTCTTAATGACTTTTTTCGTATACTAGTTAAAATGTGTCCGCTTTATAAATTGAGGCATATTAATTGGTATTTTTCTTTTTTTTAAAGTTGTCTGGTACTGCTAATGCGTTATAATTGGCTTGCGTCACCTAGCAATTAAGTAGACTCATAATTGGGGCGCGTCACTTAAGAAACTTTGTAGACCCAAAGTTTAATTATTTAGTTTTTCCCAGTAGCATTATTGGTCATATTTTTGCTTGTGTACCTCTGCGTTTAAAATCTGAAACATTCTTAATATTAACTGAAAAAAAAAACGATTAACTCATTTCAACTGCAAGGCTAGCGGGTACATGCCCACTTTTTGTCCACAATTTTAGCTAGTGGGTACCTTCCACTTTTTGTCCAAAGCTTTGCGTCAACGAATTTATTTCAAGACTAAAACGAATCAACTAAGAACAGCAACCACCATGCTAGGAAAAAAATTAGCAAACCGAATCGCAAAATTGTTTCAAAATTTCGCGAAGTTTTCCAAAGTTTCAGATATCGAATAGCTTGCTTAGAAAAACTTCAATTTTTCGGGAGCTGATTCAGTCTAAGAAGTAACTTGACTTATTTTAAAGTTTCTCAGTTCGAATAGATTGTAACGAAAAAAATTTCGGGAACCGATTCGCCATCTATGCTTTAAGTTGAAATATGTCAAAGTTTCAGAGCCGGAGTAATTTGTTTAGGAAAACATAAACTTTGTGCGAACTAATTCAGTCTATGAAATAACCTGAATTATTCCGAGCAAACTTTTATAGCTCGATTAGCTTGCTTAGAAAACAATTTTGGCGAACCGGCTCGCGGTCTATGAAATAATTTGAAAATATTTAAGGATTCGTAGTTTTGGTAGCTTGCTTAGAACAACTAAAACTTCTCACGGACCCATTCAGCTGTGAAACAACTTAAAATATTTATAACTTTCCTCGCTTGAATATCATGCCTTGGAGAAACTTGATTTTTTCGTAATGATTCGCTTCATGAAACAACTTGAAATAATTCAAATTTTTGTTAGCTTGATTAGCTTGCCCTTTTTTTGAGAACTGATTCCCTCTAAGTTGCATAGCTGGCTTAGAAAAACTTCAAAGTTTCGCGATTGAACTTCGATCTGCAAAATCACTTGAACAGCTCGCTTAGGAAAACTTAAACTTGTTCGCAACCGATTCGGTGTATGAAATAGTTAATTTAAACTGAATCAGATTGTTGCTGTGGAGAAAACTGTTACTAATCTTTATTGCTGATTTCAATTTTATACTATGATTTTCAGCTTCCGACCTTGAGATTTGGTTTGATCCGATTTTGATCATTCTGAATCAAAATGCTTTATGTACCGTCATGGCTCAAACGCAACACTAGTACAAATAACTTTAAATAAACCAATCGAAAAAATATAGTTTTTTTTCTCAACCTTTCATTCCTAGTCTTTAAAATCATTTCAAGTTCAAATTCCATAGAAGCAGGCTAACAAACCGAAAAAAAATTGAGTCTGATTGATATGTGAACGTAAACTGAAGAAACTCGAAGGATGCTTGTGTGGAGTTTGTGAGGCAATATTTTTGCTTTTATTGGTCCATGATAAAAAAACGACAAGCACGGAGTAGAGGAGTAACAAACTAAAAAATGAGAAATTATTAAATTAATAAATAAGAAGGGTTACAGAAATAAAGTTTAGACATATGATAAGCGATGCCGTCAAAATCATGAGCATGTGTCCTGCTGCAAGTATTACCACAACTCGATTCATACTCATACTCATCAAGATGGTTATTCTGGGAAAGGCAATTAAAAAGGTTTACCGTTGATTGCAATCAATTACTATGAGTTGCACTCAGCTGCATATTTCGACATTAACTTCTAATTGTGCAAATGTTTTTTTTTCCAACTCAACTCTAATTATTGTAAATCATAAAGCACAGTACTAAAATACAGTGTCTAAAACTAGAAATGTTAAGTGCGAATCACGTTTGAGACGGAATGAGAACTGAGTGCAAGCTGAAAAGTGTCTAAGCAAACTGAACAAAAACTTGTTTCAAGCAGCAAAAAAGTAACAGAAATTCTGTATGGTGATTGCACGACAATTGTTTTTCTGCTCAATGTTGTGACAATCACAAAATATTGCGAGTTAAAATAATAGTTAAGATGCAGTCAAAATAAGAAGCATACGCTTTTCAAATTTAAGTGTCCTGCTTAAGGTTGATATTACCCACCGCGATTCGATCCAGATTCGTCAAAACAATTACGTCAAACCAACTAGTAACTTGTAAAATATAGAAGCAGTAGGACTTGTTCTTGGATTGGGTGTCTTTTTTCGCAAATAATCGGATGCCACAAAAAGCCCTTTTTCTATCAAAAAATTATTTCACAAAAAAAAATAATTATAATGGATTATGATTTAGGTATTCTGCATGAAAACACCTAATAGCAGTCAGGAGCAAATAGCAGTTTCTTTTTGTTCGGTAACCAACTGAAAAGTACACAAACAAAACAAACTAAAATAAAATGAAGCGATGACGTTTGCTGAAGTAAAATGGATTATAATTCAAAAAAAAAATTGAGAAAAAGAAGCTTTCATAAAATATTTGATTATAATCGACAATAATGATTTTTATTTTTTCGAAAAATGGTTACATTATAATCTATTTTTAATCGATTATAATCAACTATTTTTGAAATTATGCTGGCATTAATTTCTCAATAATTGTTCCGGCTTTCGATACGAAAAAAATGGAATATTTTTGCTCCGTGTGTTTTTTTTTTCTTCAGACAAATTTGGACTTTTTAACTAGCCATTTTTGAAGGAACTTTTTTTATATCATTCAAAAATTATTGTTGTCTTGAGCTTAAATTTGAAAAAAAATTTCACCTGTGATCATTTTTCGTGAAGTTATGGGGGTTTATAGATTACCATTTTGGGACAATTAACGCGCGATATACTTCGCGCTATTACGCGTAAGCGGAGATTTAATCCGTATAACAAATCGTTGCAAATTGGTTGAAAGAAGTTTAATTGATTTGTTACAAGGAGCAAAATCTATTCTTTTGTACTTTATATGGCGTGTGGGGGATGATATTCATAAGAAATTTCAAATTTTAGAAAAAAAAATTTTCTTTTATTTTATTACATTTAGTTTTTTTAAATGTTATTACTCATCTACAAACCTTAAAAGGCAGTCGGAACATTCAGGGCTTCGTCCTGATACGAGTAGTCTTGTTACTTAATTTAAAACTTAATTTTTGACCTGCAAAGTATTTGACGAATTGCACGTTGTTCAAATTACTATTGGGAGTTACAAAATTCGACATGCCTGCTAATTGGCCAGTCTCTTCATTTTTTTTTGCAGATTTTTTGGGAATGAAGATGAATTAGCCTACGACTAATTCATCTGAGGTTTAATGAGAAACGATTATTGCGAAAGTTTAAAAAACTATGAAAGCATTCAAAGATATCTCAGATTTTGGATGTGTTTTGAACCACTTAAACAGTAATCAAGTACAAACAATCATATTATGCTTAGACAGGCTGGATAGCCTTTCATAGATCCTCTGGGAATCGCAGAAGTCACAATTATCATTATTTATTACAACGGATGATACGCTATATGATGTTCTTATCTCCTTTTAAAATTATTTATGCTCCTTTAACTCCTATCGAGCTTGTTAGAATCATTGAGATTCTAGATAAACTTCTGTCTACATCCAACGTTTTTATTATGCTACGGCTTTTGGTCCAGTTCTATTTTTACTCATCTATGCAAATTAAGCTGGGATATTGGATCTGAAACTCAAAGAGTTCAAAATTAGTAAATCAAAATAAATTTACTAAAGAGTTCATGAACAGCAAAAAATGTTTTATATAGAAAATTTGAGGCTGGAGAAAAAGGCGCTCAACTAAGCGAGTGTTTTCTCACATCATATAGGTCAATATAAAGTAAGCAGGATGAGAAGCTGATCCCATTGGTCGAGAATTGTGAGGGCTGTTCTGATTGGTGGATAGGGATTATAGTTAATTAGGGCGTGTTCATTTCTTGTCCTTGTCTTCTTCCGGCGTGTCGCCTCTCTTCTCGCCCTGCGCACTCTCGTTGTCCCCGTAGCTCCCATTCTCAGACTGTTCAACCTGAAAAACAGCACAGCGTTTTCCAGCTGGAACTAAATGTGGGCCAAATATTATCTATATTGAAACCTTTTTTATGCAGCTGTCTCTTCGAAATTGTAATCACGACTGAAAAAATATGATAACAGTGGCACTTTTTTTTGTTTGTTTTTTTCAGGTAGCTGAAAATTACGCGAAAACTGAACCACGAAGCAAAGATTGGTTTGCATTTTTTTTCTGCATTTTGCGTTATCTACTCAATATTTTTCAGTAACTCTGTAAAATTTATCTGGATGCCAATTTTAAAAGCAAAATGAAAGCTGGCGAAAAACTGGTTTTCATCTAATTGTATCAAAAAGGAATACCATTTAGCAGTCCAGTCCTCCATACAGTGCGTGCCCAGAAATTTTTCTAAAGGTGTGGTTTTTCGAAAAACAAAATTGAAAACTTTGTCGAACTATTTTTTTAAGTCGACCAAATACTATACATATGTTTTTTGCTTAAATGTTTCTGCGCCGAAGGCAATTTTTGAGAAAGAAAAACTGGCTAAAAATTGATGTTTTGAGCACTTTTTAAAAAGATAAAAAACAAAAATTTGCTTTTTTTGGTGCGCGCTCGCACCTCAAATTTAAATATATTGGCGCCAACCAAAAATGGATCTCGTAAAATTATACCAAAGAGGGACCCTTTGAAAAAGTTTGGCAACCAAGAATTGAGGAGGCGGTTTCGTCGCATAAACACAACCCCCCCCCCCCCCTCACCTCGGCACGCAACTGCGTCCATAGAAAACTGATTCAGCCCTTTCGCCTTGCATTTTTTCTATAACAATTAACATTTATTTGAAAAAGCTCAGAAAGTGACCTGTGAACACTTGATAATTAATTATATACAAAAATCAATCCAATTGGTTTAGTTTTTAGCCAAAAGTTGCAAAAATTAACGCCCAGACTTAAACTGGAATCGTTTGTCCAAAAACCTTACGAGACCTTACTGTGTATTCTGTGAAATGCAAGCGGATTCTGGAACAGACAACAAGTTGAAAATAAATTTGTTCCATAAATTGCAAAACGGCTTTTTTTAAAATCATTTTGCTGTTGCGCATTCCAGGAACGAATATAAGAATTTTTGTATTTCTCAAAGTGGTTCCAAAAGCAGCCGATTTTGCTGAATCCGAAACTGTAATGTAGGAAGTAGCGGATACAGATTAGTTTCTGGAATCAATAAACTAATCTGTATCCACTGCATTTTACATTACAGTTTCGCGAATTTTTTTTTCAATAGCAAAAATCACTTCCAATTTCCCGAGTTCATTTTAAACAGTAATCAAGTACAAACAATCATATTATGCTCAGACAGGCTGGATCGCCTTTCATAGATCCTCTGGGAATCACAGAAGTCGCAATTATCATTATTTATTACAACGGATGATACGCTGTATGATGTTCTTATCTCCTTTTAAAAATTTTTATGCTCCTTTAACTCCTATCGAGCTTGTTAGAATCATTGAGATTCTAGATAAACTTCTGTCTACATCCAACGTTTTTATTATACTACGGCTTTTGGTCCAGTTCTATTTTTACTCATCTATGCAAATTGCGCGAAAACTGAATCACGAAGCAAAGATTGGTTTGCATTTTTTTCTGCATTTTGCGTTATCTACTCAATATTTTTCAGTAACTCTGTAAAATTTATCTGGATGCCAATTTTAAAAGCGAAATGAAAGCTGGCGAAAAACTGGTTTTCATCTAATTGTATCAAAAATGAATACCATTTAGCAGTCCAGTCCTCCATACAGTGCTTGCCCAGAAATTTTTCTAAAGGTGTGGTTTTTCGAAAAACAAAATTGAAAAGTTTGTCGAACTATTTTTTTAAGTCGACCAAATACTATACATATATTTTCTGCTTAAATGTTTCTGCGCCGAAGGCAATTTTTGAGAAAAAAAAACTGGCTAAAAATTGATGTTCGCACCTCAAATTTAAATACATTGGCGCCAGCCAAAAAAATGGATCTCGTAAAATTATACCAAAGAGGGACCCTTTGAAAAAGTTTGGCAACCAAGAATTGAGGAAGCGGTTTGGTCGCATAAACACACCCCCCCTCACCTCGGCACGCAACTGCGTCCATAGAAAACTGATTCAGCCCTTTCGCCTTGCATTTTTTCTATAACAATTAACATTTATTTGAAAAAGCTCAGAAAGTGACCTGCAAACACTTGATAGTTAATTATATACGAAAATCAATCCAATTGGTTTAGTTTTTAGCCAAAAGTTGCAAAAATTAACGCCCAAACTTAAACTGGAATCGTTTGCTCAAAAACCTTACGAGACCTTTCTGTGTATTCTGTGAAATGCAAGCGGATTCTGGAACAGACAACAAGTTGAAAATAAATTTGTTCCATAAATTGCAAAACGGCTATTTTTAAAATCATTTTGCTGTTGCGCATTCCAGGAACGAATATGTGAATTTTTGTATTGCTCAAAGTGGTTCCAAAAGCAGCTGATTTTGCTGAATCTCAAACTGTAATTTAGGATGTAGCGGATACAGATTAGTTTCTGGAATCAATAAACTAATCTGTATCCACTACATTCTACATTACAGTTTAGCGAAATTTGTTTTCAATAGCAAAAATCACTTCCAATTTCCCGAGTTCACTTTCATTTTTGCATTAGACGTTACATTACTGCGGAATCGGCTTTCATTTGCGGAATTTGAACCAGTTTGCTATGTTCACTCGTGGTAGAATTCGCGACACGTCCAATGTACCGACAAATTTTATGTTACAAAGTATGTGCGATCGTAGTCCACGAATATTTCGAAAGTGGAATCCACGTGATTTTTGGAACATGTTCGAAATTTCTCTGGATTCCATTGACCTTCAGACAACAAACGGTGCGATTATCCAGATCACAGTTTGGCCTCGTAATGAACTCAAGTTTATGTTTCGCAAACTAATCCTGTTTTGATTTCCTCTTTTATCAGAGCAAAAGTAACCAACATGAAACTCATTAATTTCGATGACAAAAAACGGTGTGCTATTTTGGTGTACCAGCGCGAGTGTTCAAAAATAGTCATAGATAAACAGACTTCAATATGCAGTTTTGACAATTTACAAATCATTCAAAAATTCTGGAACACGTGGCTATACAAGTTTTGTCTGAATTGTTGAAAACTTTGGTCCCAGGACTTCTTTCAACGTTTTAATCTTTTGTTTTTATAGGGATTTAACCAAACTCATTGGCATTCAAAAACACTTCGATTTCATTCATTTTGAAATCTTGGGGTGTTAGCGGCTATTTTTTTTACTACAAAAACACCTCACCAGTGCGAATTGTTATTTTTTTTGGCAATTATTCGACCCTAACACAATATTGCCTGCATAACATGAAGTTGAGACCCAGATAGATCTTTTTAATAGTCATCATCAACCGTGTGTAATTAAGTTTCAGATTATATCTTAAATACTTGTGAGAAAAAAAAAGACTAAAAATGATGAAAAAAAAATCATTTTCTTGGTTGAGAACTAAATGTTACATTGACTTTATCCCGTGACTTTAGATATCAAATTATAAGTCCAATCGATTTAGCGAAAACTTCTGCGAGTTTTCTGTGTTTATCATACAATTGCTAATTGTTATTGTGCGAAACAAAAGAGCCATTTTTTTGTTAACCGAATCTTTTCCGTTACTCGGCGCAGAAATTAGGTTTATGCTCTGATACTACCCGAATATGATTGGCTGAAGCAAAACCGAAAGAAAAAAATAGTTTTAAAATTTTTGGTTTATGGCCGTATTGTAGTAGAGAACAATTTAAATTCATTTTTTAGTGCTTTGGGAGAGCTCGGAAAATCAATAGAAAAAGTCGACAAAACTTTCGAAAGTCTTTGAAAATCCTCCACCCCTCGAGAAAATCCTAGATCCGCCCCTGCTTATATCGGCTAGGAGGAGCTCGAAAAGTTTAATTGGTCTGCCTAAAAAAGGTTAATAAGTTTCCATTTTTCCCAGAAAACCGTCTTCCCTTCAAACAATTACTACGCGCACTAAAACTGAAAGGTCACATATATGCAACAGCATTAGACCAATTACCTCTTCTTTCATCTTGCGTTCTTTATCCTCGAAGACAGCCTTCTCCTTGTCCAGAATCTCCCTAAACTCCTGCTCTGCCTTTCCAATCAGATCCTCCTCCTCTTCTCCTCCCCCCTCGCCTTCCTCTCCTTCTCCCCCACCACTCTTCATCTGCTTCTCCTTCAACTTCATCTCCCTAAATGAAGTCAAAGGTCAGAGGTCAAATATATCTCTGCAAGTGATAATCTCGATATTCGTTTTTTGTGTTAGTTTCCACTGTATCTGGTAAATGAGATCAAACATTGAAAAATTGATTTGTTTGTTAGTTGCCGAAGAAACAAATATTTGGCTGATAAAACTTTGATTGTAGAGTTTAGGGTTCTTAACACTTAATAATTTTACTTAATTTAATCATCTTAATCTGTTCTAACCTGTGTCTGGCCTCGAGTATCTTCTCTCGCCTAGTCTCCCGCTCAAACATGGCAGTGACGAGTGCCTTCTCGTTCCTCTGCAGAGTGTAGAGGGAGTTGCTCAGCTCCAGTAGTGTCACTGTCCCGTCCTTCGATCCCACTCCGATGTGGCTGCCATTCTCCTGCATCCGCAGACAGTGCAGCGGCCCATCCGTCACCTATCACACATAATACTTACACAATTAAATACACGAACTAACGAGCAGTTTAAAAAATATAATCACTAGGTAAAGGGTTGTTGTGCTAAAACTAAAACTACCACATATTCGCTAGACAAAAATTTCAATAAAAAGATCAAAATTGCTATTACTTTGATTTGTATATGAATAATTTTTTTCTTCATATAGTTTTTGAAGAAAATTTCAACGGCGATTCTCCAAAATTGTTTTCAAATAAAAATCTTCAACTATTTTTTTTAAGATTTCACTTTTTCAAATAATTTAAGTTGACGATTTTGCATCAAAATTTTTTTTTTTAATTTTGGATTTGTTTTAAATTTTCATTGTCGGGACACTTATTAGCAGTTATAACAGGATAGAGAGGACTGAGTACTTCACATAAAACGCCAATCAAACTGAATAATGGTAAATTTCTAACATGGCCCGTAAGGGTATGTTTTTAGAGTTTGAATTGTTTTTTTTTGTTCACGTACCTGGACAGAGAGGACTGGGTCGTTCTGCTTGAACAGGAGATCCCACACATCCAACTTGCCATTCATCTTGGTGGTGAAGAAGACAGAGGGTCTCTGGGTGCTCCAGCAGGCATCTGTCAAGTAGTGCATGTCATAGTTGGTCCACATGATAGAACTGTCTTTGATGTCCTCTGACCAGATCTGAAACAGCAGAGAAATACTATCATTTAGTTTCAGAAAGTTTCAGAGAATTTATCTCATGACTCAGAATCTCAACAACTCCTCCCTCCCCACAAGCACGCACACGCACAAACAAAACACACGCCCCCCCCCCCCTACACGGATTCGACCACCTGCCGACCCTTTGTACTATTTTGAGACATCCATTTTTGGAGACGGACCCTGAAATTTTTCTAAAGGCGACTTTGGCGCCAATATATACTCTTTTTGAGGTGGGAGCGCGCGCCAAAAAAAACGCGATTTTTTGGTCAAATTTTTCCAAAAACTGCCTGAAAACCCCTTTTTCGGCCTGTTTTTTTTAAATTTTGCCTGCGGCGCAGAAAGTTTGGCCAAAGCAGGTACTTTTTACTGCTTTGGGGAGCTCAAAAAATAAATTTGGTCGCCCTAAAAAAAAGGTCGACAAAATTTTCGAATTTTTTTGGAAAATCCGCCCCCCAACCCCTCGACAAAATCCTAGATCCGCTCCTGCACACAAAGACACGCGCTTGAAAACATAGAATAGGAATCCATGACAACCCAAAAGGTGAATGCGCTCTCAGAAAATTGCAATTTTTAACCGAGACTTCCCATCAAAATGCCCGAAAGCGCCTTTTTAAAGCATTTGAAAAGTTAATGGGTCCAGCTCACAAAAAAGCTGACAACGTTTTTTTTTAATTTTGAAAATCCACCCCTCTTAAAAATATAACTCCACCTCTGTTTTCTTATTGTAGTTTTTTTACACAGGAGCACAGATCTTTTTGAATCTTGAACTACCGACCTGTCCACTGATACTTATACTTTTTGATGGTTTTAAATTTGTCCTTATACACCTACCCTGGCGGTCCAGTCGGCCACAGTGAGGAAGTTCTTGGGGAAGAAGGGGTTCCTCTGGAGTGCATAGATGGGACCATGATGGCCACTGTACACGGCCACGATCTTCTCCGCCGGCGTCTTCGCCTTCCGATTGCAGCTGATGATCGTCCCTTGCTCAGTTCCAACCATGAACTTAGTCGGCTACACAAAACACACAAGTTGAAATAATTCGAGGGGCAGTGAGAGATTCTATTGGCAGACAAACCGAATGGAATAGATTTTCCAAAAAAGTTAAAATTATTTAATCCTAGAGCGGATAAAACCGCTGCTTGATGGTGACGGTTACAGCACAGTTTTATGATTATTGTAACAACCAGCAATCTCTCCTTTTCCTTTTTACTTTTTTGCAAACAAATTTTTACACTTAACGGTTACGTTTGCAAAAGTTAGCGTTTGTTTTCTTTTCCAAACTAACTTGATTTAACTTATGCGATCGACCAAATCGCAGCTAGTTAGAACAAGGGGTCTTTCTGAATGTTGCTAAGACTTTCCTATTCTTATTCAACAGACAAAGTTTCTTTCACTCGTAAATAGGTATATTATTTCAAATATAGAGGACACACATCAATTTTATATCAAGAGACATTGGGGTATGGATTTATAGTTATCGAGATATAGATTTGAGATTTTGGTTATTAGGATGGTTGGGGGTATCAGTATGAGAGTGGTAGTGAGATTTTGAGAAAGTGATGAAGTGATGTTTGGTATATTTTCGCTTGGCTTATATACCATAGGTTTTGATATTTTCAGCATTCCATCTGTTGGTTAAACCAATCAGAAAGAAACAACACATGCTGTAATGTTTGCTTTTGGTGATATTTTATCAACCGAGCAAACACATAATTTCAAGTCAGAACATATGGTAAAAGTTTTAATAATTGTGTTTCTGATTTCAATTCAGAACATCCAACCATCTTATAGGGTGATTGTTAAACGGTGATACCCGTTGACAAAAAATTTAAAAGCATAATAAAATTTACAAAACATCAAAAAGGTTTTTTAATAAAGTTTGCGTAAAGTTTTTATTCTGATTTTGGTAGTTTGTTCGTAAAGTGGCGGCTTGTAGTGTAGTCGGTTGATGGATGGCTGCTTGTAGTCGGTTGAAGAATGGCTGCTTGTAGTCGGTTGAGAAATGGCTGCTTGTAATCGGTTGAAGAATGGTTGTTTGTAGTGTATGTGCATGTTGAGTAGAGCAGTGGCGGCGGCCAAATCACAGCTGGATACTTTTGAGAAATATAACATCAAATACAATTTTTCAAATTTGGTTTAGCGAATATACTTATCAGCAATACTGGACTATAATTGTAGAAGCATACATACTTTGTAAAGTGGCGGCGGCCAAATCACAGTTGGAGTTAAAAAATAAAAAGAACGGAGGTTAATAGATAGTCTTGAAACTAATAGTTTCCTTCCACCTGGGTTTTTAGGCTCAGATATTTATTGCTGAGGTCCTTATTTTTTTCCCGGAGCACTGTTATGGTTTTCTGCATTTGATTGATGCGATTTAAGTCGTTTATGTAATTCTTTTGAACTTGATCCGTGTGGGAGTCAAGGATCGGAGTCTGCATTTGGGCAGTTATAAAGGCTGCAGGAACACAAATATGTTCATGGGGGAGTTGTGCATTAACCAGACGGTATGCACCGTTACCGTTTTGGTAAGGGTGATAGGTGTCTATTTTAAATCGGTTAATAAAGGGAGAGAGCGCATAATTTAGACTGGTGTCAAAATTTGGTGGTTTCCTAGGGCTGAGGTTTTGTTCCTTTTTGACTTGAATCGCGATTTTTGATTCAAGTTCTAGAGAGTTTGCAGATTGGTGAACTATTACAGTTTCAGATTCTAGGTTTTGCCTAGTTGAAGAAGAGGGGAGAATCTTGAAAGGTCGGACAATTGCTTTTCTCTTTTGAATGCAATTAGAATTTTTCACTTTTGGAATTTTAAAATTGGTATTCAATTTTGGTTGATTAATCGGGTTGATTTTTTTGGATGGCATTTCCATAGGGTCATTTAGAGACAGAAGGTTTTCGAAGTCGGGCAAGTCTTCTTCAAGTAGAGTGTGAAGAAGATCAGTGGGCATATCCTAAAACATAGAATAAATTAGACCGGTACAGCGGGTCGATTATTGTAATCGACTAGTTGGAGTCTAGGATAAATTTTATCCTGATTTTCATTTTCAGAATCCTCTTGTTGAGGTGCCTGAGGCCTATGATCAAGCTCAATATTTTGATCGTTCTCATTTTGAGCGAATATTAAAGTCACTATAGAAGTGAAAAGTATATTGTAAGAGGCGGCTAACATAATTTTTCCGAAATGAAGAGTTCGGCCGGTTAGTTTGTGTATGTGTAATACTTTTATTACAAATACAAGAGCGTCGAGTATAAACTTGACGAAAAGGAAAGAGGCGAATATTATTCCGCATCTTTCTAAATAGTACTGTATTGTACCAAAAACACGAGTGTACTCGTTCTTCCAAAAATCAGGCGAGATAAGATAATCTAAGTATATGTTTTGCGTAGATTCGTATTGACTACTCGAGTCCGGATAGAAGTGTTTTCTTGCATTAAGAAAAGTTTGGGATACTTTTTGTAAAATACCCTTCATTTCAGAGTGATGAGTAATCATGCTCCAAAATTTTTGCATTTGTGCATAAGTGTAAATAGAAGCATCATGACTAGATGCAAGAGAGTGTTTTACTTGCCGTTTAATTTCTTTCGGCTTAAACAGATCTGGACCTTTTACTCTAGTAATAGAGGGTGTGAGTTCGATCCAAGAATTATCGTTATCAACATCTAAATGATAAAGATTCAAATGCTTATCGGAGCAGTCTTGTTGATCTGCCGATTTAAAAGTTTGTCGAGTGATCGGGTCGACGAAATGAATTTTTTCGCGATACATAATTGGTATCCGATTATAGCATGCATCCATTAATTGTAATGGAGAATAAAATTTTGGGCAGTGATAGAGCCAGGCAACATTGCCATTGGTCTCTAAAAACTTAGACCTATTTCGGGTCAAAATGTAGCCGGCTAAACGCGGGCTTTCGATAGAGAGCATTAAAGTATTGAGAATCATGGAGCGTTCTAACTCACATTGATTCGTTAAAAGTGCCAATTCGGCAGTTCGAAGCATGTAAAAGCTTCGAAAAAGAATATAATCTAGTTTTGTTCCTAGATGAGCTTCGTAGTCTATTTGTCCCGGTGCAAAGGGATAATTTTCATCTTTTGCGTATTTTACGTAAGTCAAATTTGGCTCCGAATGAATAATTCCTGTATTAGCACTCGGGTTTATTTGTAAACCAGTATCCATATTAAAACCGTTTTGGTATGCTATGAACAATGATTCGTATTGGGTCGGGTAGACTATTTTTGGGTGTCCACATAAAGATTGTGGTTTATTTAGTATTTTTAGCATAAATTGTTGAGTGTCTCTACCTCGAGTATGGTGGTTGGATATTTTAGTAAAAGAGTCTTTTACAATATAATAATTTTCTTCATTTCGAATCATTTTTGCTTCGAATTTATTGAGAACCGAAAAAATGCAGTTTTCGGGCTCGTTCCAAGTATATGCAAAAGGGTCAAGTGATGTTGTTTCACATCCGTTTTCATATACAGGACAAGGTAATGGAATGTTTTGCCAGTTATTAACTGTTCCATCTTTTAGATTGACAGTTAAGGAAATATTTTGCATGTATGATTCGAAAGTATCCAAATGGATCCTAGAACGATCACTGCATTCGTTGTGGTATTCGCCATCAACTTTGCCTCTATTTGTATTTGTGACGATTTTTTCGTCGAAGCGAAAAGGAATGTTTTTTGAGTATCCTAAGTTAACATATCCCCGTTCGGCGGCGTGTTTACAAGTATCAGGGGAAATGTGTATATCAGTTGTGATTATATTTTGGCGAGCGTCTATTCCGCTTGAATCGAAAGAATCACAAAACCATCGGATAGATTGGTGTTTTATACGACACATTGTCGCGTTAATTTTTGTACTATAATGCCGTTGGTAAAGAGTAACCTCGGCTGTTGTAGTTTCGATATTTTCAGGTTGTGTTTTGCAGGGAGCTACTTTATTAAGTGAGAACATTTTATTCGATGTCATTAGTTGACAATCAAAATGCGCAATTTTCAGATCTTTTGCTGTATTAGCGTAGAGATTGTCCTCTGGGTTAAAAGCGCAGATTTGTTGGGGAAATATTAAAAGAGTGTATATAGCTAACCAAAAAATTTTTAGTTTTAGACGGCGGCGGAAAATAGAAATTATACTTACTTTCAGCAATTCATCGATTATTTGGTCCGTTGATTGATCAAGGTCCATTATTTCACCTTCTTCGAGATCGGTGATTTTAGACATTATTTTTGAATTTTATTGATTTTTGCAATTGCTGAGAAGTATCAGAGGAAGGTTTTGGAGGTTGTGAAGTTTTTGAAAGAATGATTCTGGGCTTTTTTTTGCTGGTTTATATAGATCAGATTCTGATAAAATTTGTTTGTTTAAGACAAGTTTTAGCAAAGCCGGCTGTTTAGTTATAATTGACATACTATACTGTGCCGTATTTGTTTTACTGGCACGTGTCTACGGCCGTTGGGAGGGGTTTAGTTTGCAATTTAAGACCATGCTTGAACCGATGCTTGAATCGATGTTCACCATCAGTGAATTTTTTTAGGAAAAGATTTTGTAGTTCAGCCCAAGTAGTAGCATTAGTTACTTCATCAGTATACCATTCAAGAGCTGTTTTGGTTAATAAAGATCCAAACAAACTTTTTTGTCTGTGATCATAGTTAGGCTGAGCGCCAGCGTCTCTGGGTCGTTGCCCTAGTGAGAATACAATTTTATTCTCAACTGAAGTCCAAAAGGCTTTTGCGTTTAGGTCTGAATCATTTCCTGAGAATGATACAAAAGACAAGTTAGGATGGATGATTGGGTGATTGGCCATCTTACTTTTTTCAAGTTAAGATATCCAATTTAAAGTTTTGAAATTTTGAAATTTGATAATTTCAACTTTAGAAAGTTTAAAATTTTGATAATTTCAACTTTTGAATTTTTGATAATTTCAACTTTTTGAAATTTTCAATTTTTGAAAGTTTGATAATCTCAGATTTTTAAAATTTTCAACCTTTTGAAATTTTGATAATTTCAATTTTTGAAATTTTCAACTTTTTGAAATTTTGATAATCTCAGTTTTTTGAGATTTTGATAATTTCAACTTTTGAAATTTTCAACTTTTTGAAATTTTGATAATTTCAATTTTTGAACTTTTCAACTTCTTGAAATTTTGATAATTTAAATTTTTTGAATTTTTGATAATTTCCACTTTTGAAATTTTCAACTTTTTGAATTTTTGATAATCTCAGTTTTTTGAGATTTTGAAAATTGAGTGAATTTTTGAAACTTGTGTGCCTCACTGGTCGCACCAATTATTCCAAACTAACTTGATTTAACTTATGCGATCGACCAAATCGCAGCTAGTTAGAACAAGGGGACTTTCTGAATGTTGCTAAGACTTTCCTATTCTTATTCAACAGACAAAGTTTCTTTCACTCGTAAATAGGTATATTATTTCAAATATAGAGGACACACATCAATTTTATATCAAGAGACATTGGGGTATGGATTTATAGTTATCGAGATATAGATTTGAGATTTTGGTTATTAGGATGGTTGGGGGTATCAGTATGAGAGTGTTAGTGAGATTTTGAGAAAGTGATGAAGTGATGTTTGGTATATTTTCGCTTGGCTTATATACCATAGATTTTGATATTTTCAGCATTCCATCTGTTGGTTAAACCAATCAGAAAGAAACAACACATGCTGTAATGTTTGCTTTTGGTGATATTTTATCAATCGAGCAAACACATAATTTCAAGTCAGAACATATGGTAAAAGTTTTAATAATTGTGTTTCTGATTTCAATTCAGAACATCCAACCATCTTATAGGGTGATTGTTAAACGGTGATTCTTGAAAAGATAAATTCACAAAATGAACTGGTAAAAATATCATAATATGAACTGGACTCGAAAATTGATTTAAAAAAGTTTGTAATGGGTTGGAGCAGAGCAGTTGAGTATTTTTCCGCGTGGTAATTTTAAATTTCAAGCTTCAAAGTCTTTTTTGTTTCCACTAAATTTAATAGAAAACTGAAGAATTGCTTCAAAGTTTACTCTGTTGCTACAAAAGTTATTAGAAAACAGGAATTGCAAGGAATGGAGACTTACGATTGTTGATTCGTACTCCAAGACTGAAGCACCCTGAGCCTTGGCGATGATTCCTTGTTTAGAAAGATCCAAGACCAGCTGTTCCGTTGGTTCGCCCAGTTTCCTGGTATCCCACCAGAGGACCTGTCCATCGGTGGACGCCGAGAAACACTCCGTTCCCGTCTTCGAACTGAGCCAGATAACCTTATAAGGCGGGTCTCTGTGACTCACTTCAATGGGGGAAGACTCGCAAGGATGCTGGTGTTTTCTGGTATCCCAAAAAGCGATCTGCCCATTGTAGCACCCCCCGATTAGAGTGTGGGGATCTTTGGGGTTGTACTCGAGGCAGACGATGGGGGAGACGGGTTTGAGAGTGAAATCGGGTCGGTTGGGGTTCTCGACATCCCAGATGTAGGAGTTGTCGGAGATGCCTGGCTGGTTGCGTTGGAACTCGAGGTTGCAGTAGGCCACCGCTAGCTTCCGGGCTCCATCCGGGTACCAGGACAAGTTGGAGGCAGTTCGTTTGATTTCATTCGGATCACTAAATGCATATAAATTGCAATTTTTTTCTAGTTTCCCATCCCCCTGCATTTTTCGTTTCTAAAAATGGTTCAAATCTGCTTCTTCTTTCTGATATGTTTCATTATTCGAAAAAAGAGGAAAATTTCTTGTTCAGGAAAATTTTCCAGAGCAAAAGAGACATGAAGTTAAGTTGGAGCTGTACTTTTAGATGAAATACTTTTTGAAATTAAGCAAAAAAAGTCACCCTTTATCAGATTAATTATTAGCACCTCAAACCATTAACCGTTCAAATATACTTATGGGTGTTGGTTGAAAAGAAAAACTTCAAAACTAGTTAAGCTTACCAGAAAACGTTGATCATCTTGGCTCCTGGCGGCTCTTCGGATGTGTCGAAGTCGAATTCTTGGAAGTACTTCTCATAAATGTCGATTCCGTTGTTCTGCTTTATGAAATGCTCCATACCCTTAAAAACAATCAAACATGTATAATTTTCTTTAAAATAACTTCACTTTTAGAATAGAACAGTACCGAAATATTCAAAAGTGTCTCTCTTAACCGCATTCAGTTCTACTATAGTTGTTTTATTTTTCTCGTGAACTCAGAATCTATTTGTACGGGATCTATTCTTCCAATGCTTGATGATTCAGAAACCAGTCACAAATGCATAAATAATGTTATAAATTATAAAATAATTGCGTGTTCTTTTCAATTTGTCTGCAAAATTTCAATTTTCATTTTGAATTTTAAATTAGGGTTGTCAAGTTTCACTGAATTTTTTTTTTCAGATTGGAGAGGTGTCCGTTTGGAAAAGAGGTTATTCGTGGGTTGAGGATTGTGATTTGTGTTGCAATACATACTGTGCTTAGTCCAGTGATGGTTTGTACGTAGCTTTCTTCTTTCTCCACCTTCTTGCGGAACCTCTGCACTTGTTCGATCTCGTGAGGGTTCACATCTTTCGGCCAGCCGCCCTCTGTGTGGTTGATGCTTCTGTTCTCAGTCTCGTATCTGATTGTGTTTGCCTGAATCACAAAGCCGAATCAACTACTAGCAGAATGTTATTGAAAACCTGTTTAAAAATTTGACCAAGAATATCTTTTTGCAATCAATGCTTTGACAATAGTTTCAACTTATAGAAAATTTTCAATTGGAAAAAGTTTTCAGCTTGCGAGTTTAGCCATCCAAAAATCATTGCACATTTGAATGCAATAGAACAATATTTAAATCTAAAATTTTTAAAAAAATCTTAATTCAATTAAACTTTATTTTACAAATATTGATGGGTTTCATGTTTGACAAAAAATTGTGAAACGACAATCGTAGAAGGAAAGGCGACAATAGATTATAAATGACTCATCTTAAAATATCTCTACCCTATCCTCAACATCCACTGTCATAATTAGATTTTATACCTGAACGGTTCATTTTACCAGGTTTTGTAAAACACCAAATACTATCGTTAACATGGTCCGATTGTTTTGAAACACCATTACAGAGTTTTCAAAGCAATCAGGCCATGCGTGTTAACAAAAACTTCATTTGGTAGAAATCACAGGCGGTGGCGTGAGGAAACGGCAAAAACAACAGGAAACGGTTTTGTTACTTGGGAGTTTCGGACGAAACAAAACAAAACAAAAAATGAAAAACTAAAAACGATTTATTTTATTTTTGTCTTCAAAAATCTGGTAGCTATGACAGAGTAATGACGAATATTTGGACGAGCAAAACAAAACTTGAAATGATTTAATTTGAAATTTTGGCTGAGCGATGACACTGACCTCGTGTTCTGACATCTCCTTGGACACCTGGACAGGCATGTCCACTGGGTTCCGCTCCACATACTGGTTCCGCAGAGACGCATCCGGCTGGATATTGGTCAACAACTCTGCCCCCCTGTCCACGAAGTTGCACTGGCGTCCGAACTCCAGTCGCTTCTTAGTATACACGTATTGAACTTCCATTCTTGCTCAGATATTACAACAAAAACGGGAGATGAAATCAAAAGATAAAATCGAGAAGAAATTTACAAAAACGAGGTTTTCGAGAACCGTAGTTGACAAAAAAATTGCAGACGAAAAACACCAAATCAATGTAAAAATTACCAATTTTTTTGAAGGTAAAATTTACAGGTGAACGTATTTTGTACGTGCAGAGATTTCAAGTGAGATGTACACACGTTACTTTTTGCTGATCCTCTAACAACGTTGAAATTGACACGTGCGTTTTAGCATGGGACTGGTGTTATACATTATGAATGCACCGTTCATTATATTTTTGTTTTTGTCTCAACAAAAACGCAAAACGCCATTGAACGTATTGGATTGATTAAAATAAATAAAGAAAACGCGACGTGGTACTTTGAAAGAAGATATGAAAACTTAGGTTCTATCTGCCAAAAAATCAAAAATTTACTCTCGAATTAAACAAAACTTCATACAAATTTTGACTGTTTTTGAAGGCGACGTACGCTACTTCAACGTACTCAAAGCTCAGAGATTGTAAATTTAAACGTTCCATGCTTTTGCAAAAAAAAAATTAACTCAAAAACTATTTGGCCATTTTCTCAAAAAAGCAAATGACAACCTCTTAAAAATGGAAGGAACAATGGCCCAATGGTCCTAACTTTTTTTTAACTCAAAATAGTTAGGTATCGAATTTGGTATAGAAAAAAATTTTCAGTCGTGATTCAGATTGTAAAATACAGTTAGAAAAAAGTTTCAATCTCGAAAAAAAAAACAGGGGAAATTTGCAGCTTTTCAGACCCATTTTAATGAAGAAAGAGAAAAAGAAAACTGTCTATTTCTTCTATTTGAGCATTGTCGTAGCTTTAACCAGCTCATCTACTTAAGCTTATAGTTAACAAACTCCTACTACCTCAAATCATTTAAAAATTTAGATAACATGAAAAAATGATAATTGATAAAAAAATTGAAAGTTTTCCTTTTCTGATTTTTAAATTGAATCACTTACAATACTATGCTCAAACAGCTAAGATTTGCCACGTAAAATGTTACGGCTTTGTTTTTTCTACTTCCGGCTAGCCTTCTCATTGATTAAATTTTAAATGTAGTTTTATGTTGTAACTTGTGATTTTAAAGTATTGTGCATAGGAATCAACTATTTTGATTTGGGTGATAATTTCGCCAGTCAATTTTGTTATAATCGCAAAGCTTGACTATTTTGTTGATAATGATAATTTTCTCAATGTTTGGTGAAACAGACACCAGTAGACATAAAAAACCCTGTTTTGACACAGTTCTCAATGAAACGTTTTCAATTTAAGCAAAGATAGCCGGTTGCTCTGCAAATAGCACAAAATGTTCCGAACATTTTCAAATAAATTTTTTTAGTTTTGTAGTTTCCTTCATATTAGTGTCAATTTTAGTGCGTGGTGTGATTTAAAAACTATACAAACGCGTATTCGCCTAGTGAATTAGACATAATCGACAATATTTGTCTTTAAAATGACACAAAAACAGGAAAAAAAAACTTAAAAATTTTTAGCGTATTTTTTAACGTATTTATTTTTTAACATATTAATTTATTAAACTTTTTCTAGAAAAATATTTATTGCCAAAAAGCACTAAATGGAACATCTGGTTGGTGTGATAAAAGAATCTGATTTAAAAACTAGAAATTAGGCAAGTTCGACAGTCATAGTAAAAAAAGCAAATCGAACAACCGCTTTGGAAACTAAAATGTTTAGAAAAACAAAACATAAAACATTCGAAAAATTTCGTCTAATTGTAAGGTTTTTTCAAAAAGGTGTTTTTTCTTGGAATAAGTTTTTCAAACAGGTTTTTTTTAAAACAAGTTTTTTCCTTGGAACAAGTTTTTCTTGACGCTTTTACATTACAATTCACAACAGAAAGGGCTTTAAAATGATAAATCACACAACCGAGCCCAATGATTATGTGTCGCACCAGACTTTGCAGGAATATTAAAAAAAAATGAAAAAAAAAAACTAAAACGCCCGAATACAAAACTCTTCCCCATTTTCAATAGTCGGAACAAAAAAAATCGCTCAAAAACCATTATTTTGAAACACGTTACACTAAATGTGCAACTTTGATGGAAAAAGTGGACTGACAGAAAAACAAAACTGGCTTGCTCGTTTAACCAGCAATATCAATTAATAAGTTTTCCTAATTGACATCCTAGGCAACTTCCAGACTACTATATCTTACGTTTCTTTATTTACTTACATCGAATTATTTTTGATTTTTTCTATGCCGTTTGGGCTTTAATATGATATATCACTCAACATTTCTACTAATTTTTTGTGGTGGTACTTGATTTTGTGAAAAACAAAAAAAATGAAACACACCAGAATCTAAAGTTCCTCCATATTTTTAATGGAGAAATTTTGAATGATCTCACAATTGATTTTATTTGATAAAAAAATGTAGTATAAGCAATATATATTTCCTTTCTTTGCGATAAAATTCCAATTTTGGATCAAGTTAAGTTTTTTTACAGTTTATTCAGCATAGTAGCAAGGCGCTCTATTTCAGAACGTCAGATGCAGTGTTCCAGTGTTAGTAGTATAGATATACGACACTGGGATCGGGGGGGGGGGGGGTGATCCCTACAGGGATCCTTGAGTATAGATTATATCTACTGATCCCTATGTAAAAATTTATACCTAATGATCCCAATGTAAAATATTTATACCTAATGATCCCTATGTATAATTTTCATAGCTAATGATCCCGATGTAAAAAAATTTCCAAAAAAATTTTTCACACAAAAATTTCAAAAAAAATTTTTTTTTCAATTTTTTTTTCAAGTTTTTTTTCAAAATTTTTTTTCATATATTTTTTTCAATTTTCTTTTCAATCTATGTATAACTGATGATCCCTATAGATATATTGTTCCCTAAGTAAAACCAATGATCCCTATGTATAATTTTTCATAGCTAATGATCCCTATGTAAAAATTTATACCTAATGATCCCTATGTAAAATAATTATACCTAATGATCCCTATGTAGAAAATTTATACATATGATCCCTATGTATAATTTTTATAGCTAATGATCCCTATGAAAAATTTTATACCTAATGATCCCTATGTAAAATATTTATACCTAATGATCCTTATGTATAATTTTTATACCTAACGATCCCTATGAATAATTTTTATAGCTAATGATCCCTATGTAAAATATTTATACCTAATGATCCCTATGTAAAATATTTATACCTAATGATCCCCATGTAAAATATTTTTACCTAACGATCTCTATGAATAATGTTTATAGCTAATGATCCCTATGTATGTAACAATTTATACCTAATGATCCCTATAAAAAATATTTATACCTAATGATCCTAATTTCAATCTATGTATAACCGATGATCCCTATACATATATTGTTCCCTAAGTAAAACCAATGATCCCTATGTATAATTTTTATAGCTAATGATCCCTATGAAAAATTTTATACCTAATGAACCCTATGTAAAATATTTATACCTAATGATCCCTATGTATAATTTTTATTGCTAATGATCCCTATGAAAAATTTTATACCTAATAATCCCTATGTAAAATATTTATACCTAATAATCCCTATGTATAATTTTTATAGCTAATGATCCCTATGT